TGTGCTTCGTTTGTGCTCGTTTGTGCCGTATAAAGTAAGTCAGCAAAACCAACCATCCAAAAATTATGGGCAATTCAAAATGGTCAGCTGACTTCACGCACGAAATTAAAGCACAAACGACGGGTTTAATTGCAATCGTTTGTGCTTCGTTTGTGCCGTATAACAAAAGTCAGCAAAACCAACCATACAAAAATTATGGGCAATTAAAAATGGTCAGCTGACTTCACGCACGAAATTAAAGCACAAACGACGGGTTTAATTGCAATCGTTTGTGCTTCATTTGTGCTCGTTTGTGCCGCATAAAGTAAGTCAGCAAAACCAACCATACAAAAATTATGGGCAATTCAAAATGTCAGCTGACTTCACGCACGAAATTAAAGCACAAACGACGGGTTTAATTGCAATCGTTTGTGCTTCGTTTGTGCTCGTTTGTGCCGTATAAAGTAAGTCAGCAAAACCAACCATTCAAAAATTATGGCAATTCAAAATGGTCAGCTGACTTCACGCACGAAATTAAAGCACAAACGACGGGTTTAATTGCAATCGTTTGTGCTTCGTTTGTGCTCGTTTGTACCGTATAACAAATGTCAGCAAAACCAATCATTCGAAAATTATGGGCAATTCGAAATGGTCAGCTGACTTCACGCACGAAAATGAAAGCGCAAACGGGGGCTTCAGACTCAATTGTTTGAGTTTAGTTCTTGCCGGTATGTCCGATAGAATAAGTCTTTAAGAGAACCAGTAATACCTACACAATTATAGATATAATGCATGCACAAAATTGCAGAACACCTAACATAAGATGCACGAATTCAAACAGCTGTAGATTTAACCATAGTGTAAAGACTTAATTATTTAACGTATCTAAGTAATTGTACATAATATGTAACTGTATGTAAAGTTTCATTCCCTATGTTATGTATCGAGTTCGGACTTTCGCTAGATTATTCCCTATGCCTCTTAGAAGTGTAATAATTCACTATAAGCTTTAGAACAAAATGTACCCAAAATTATTCTTTACACATGAATTTGGAGTTGTAAAAGCTTTCAAAGGCATTATCTTGATGCTGAAAGAGTACCTACATCACGTGCACATTTGATAACCGCATGTGTGTGATTCAAAGATGTTAAATTATTTTTCTGATGCCACATGGATTTTGATCAAAACATGTCAAAATCGTTATTCTTGCACTGAGATCGATGGGAAAAAGCCCAACAGCATGATGTATCATCTCAATGACCAACACATGAATTTGATGCATGTTTGGCGACCACATGGACTTTGATCAAAATATGTGAAAATGGTTATTCTTATTCATGTACCAAGATCATTGGAAACAAAATTAATAGCATTATCTCAATGCCCAACACATGAATTTGATGCAAAAATTCTACCTCGTTTTATTATACGTAATATAATATGATAACATTTATTTAATAATGAAGATTTTAAAATCAATTAACGTGTACATCTTGTAGGTATGTATATCTACTACACTAAAAAAAATAACCTGAGAGTCGGAAACTATACTCTATTCGTATTAATTTTTTTTCAAATGTCTGTAATAGTGCTTCCGCCTTCTAGTTTTGTATAATTTAATAGCCCTTGAACAAATTTAAAAATAAAAAAGTAATTGAATATAACTTCAACAATGCATTCTAATTAATAATCGCTGTTTAATATACAATAAGGCGGACATTTAAAAACTTTTCAAATAAAAAATACTGTTTCTTTAAATATCAAAGTGACCCACCAGGCCACCACCCCCTTAAGCACAACCCATACTGACCTAAGAATCTGACAAAACAATACCCAATTTCTGATCGTCTTTGGAAAGGTTATTACACATCTTGGAAAACGTACAATATGCCTGGGTATTATTTTTTTTAACTAAGAAAGATATCAAATGAACTGATAAATGTGGTTGTTGTAAAGGCTACGGAGAATCCTAACGTTTTTTTAAATAATTTTAATTGTTTGTTCCACACTTTAAGCTATTTTGAAAAATAAAGAAACGTGTAAACAAATATAGAAAACGAGCCCCTGGGTATGACTATAGTATGTGCAAAACCAAATTTGGAAACTGGCGCTACATTTGCTTTTATTCCAAGTGGCTATGTATCAAATTTCATTTAAATACCTCCATAAATAAGAAAGTTTGCAATTCGATTTATAAAGCAAAGGGCACTGTGAATGCTGATCGATTAGGCTCAACTTTTGGAATTGCGTTTTATATGGCTAAAGCCATGCGCATATTGAATTTCATGCAACTCTGTTCATAACTAATGGAGATGTCAAAAGGGTCTTCTTTATTTTTTTTGACCTACATTGACAATTCACGAACTCCGATTCTACAAATTTGTTATTGAGGAAATCGAAAGTGTACTTTTGTACTTTTTGTAAGCGCCACCTTAAGTCGGAAGTCGTTAACATCTTTTTTTTATAAAGTTTTCCATATTTTTTTGAATTTATTTCTTTTATATAGGAGTGTAGTGTAGGTAATAAGAAATCAAACTTGGCGTTATGCTTATATTTTCTAAAGCTACCGATTTCGGTCTATGGCCATCATCAGGGTGTGGTAAAATGTTTTATAGATTTATAATATAAGTACCGTCAAATAGTTAAAGCTAATAAGTTGAAACAATAATGGTAAAATTTTGGCATATCTAATGTAGTAAAAGTCTGAAATGAAAAGATTAAGATATATGACTAGCAGTAAATTGTGACTATACATATATTAAATAAGTTTAAAAATTTAAACAATTTTACCAGTATTGTTTCAACTTATTAACTTTAACTATTTGACGGTAAGTACGTATATTTATAAATCTCTATCAGAATCGTAATAATTAGAACATTTTAGCACAGCCTTTGGAAAATATAAGCATAACCCCAAATAGGACTTCTTATTACCTACACTCCTATAAATTGTTAACACTATTTAATGGAAAAGCAAAATATTGTTTTGTCTTGTAAAATATTAGCATTACATATGATATGTAAATATGAATGTATTTCTTCATAAAACCGATTTAATTACTCAATGATAAAACTTTACATACAGTTACATATTATCTACAATTACTTAGATACGTTAAATAAGTAAGTCTTTACACTATGGTTAAATCTACAGCTGTTTGAATTCGTGCATCTTATGTTAGGTGTTCTGCAATTTTGTGCATGCATTATATCTATAATTGTGTAGGTATTACTGGTTCTCTTAAAGACTTATTATATCGGACATACCGGCAAGAACTAAACTCAAACAATTGAGCCTGAAGCCCCCGTTTGCGCTTTCATTTTCGTGCGTGAAGTCAGCTGACCATTTTGAATTGCCCATAATTTTTGTATGGTTGGTTTTGCTGACTTTTGTTATACGGCACAAACGAGCACAAACGAAGCACAAACGATTGCAATTAAACCCGTCGTTTGTGCTTTAATTTCGTGCGTGAAGTCAGCTGACCATTTTGAATTGTCCATAATTTTTGATGGTTGGTTTTGCTGACTTACTTTATACGGCACAAACGAGCACAAACGAAGCACAAACGATTGCAATTAAACCCGTCGTTTGTGCTTTAATTTCGTGCGTGAAGTCAGCTAACCATTTTGAATTGCCCATCATTTTTGTATGGTTGGTTTTGCTGACTTTTGTTATACGGCACAAACGAGCACAAACGAAGCACAAACGATTGCAATTAAACCCGTCGTTTGTGCTTTAATTTCGTGCGTGAAGTCGGCTGACCATTTTGAATTGCCCATAATTTTTGTAAGGTTGGTTTTGCTGACTTTTGTTATACGGCACAAATGAGCACAAACGAAGCACAAACGATTGCAATTAAACCCGTCGTTTGTGCTTTAATTTCGTGCGTGAAGTCAGCTGACCATTTTGAATTGCCCATAATTTTTATATGGGTGGTTTTGCTGACTTTTGTTATACGGCACAAACGAGCACAAACGAAGCACAAACGATTAAACCTAAATCCGTTGTTTGTGCTTTTCATGGCCAGCTCACTTCACACCCTAATTTGTCGAATTTCTTTTCGAATATCATAAATGTATTAGTACAGAATGCAATGATATACATTATATAAGAAATATTTTTAGTAGTAAAAAGAAAATCGACAATAACATGAATTTTTTTTTCATGGCGTAGAGAGTTGTTATTATTTTAATACATTTACCATCACCCAGAAAGCTTTGAGTTTAAAAATAAGCGGTAGAAACTGTATACTTCAGAAGATTTATAGAAAATCAGTACCACTTACTTTTCAAACAGCCATATTCATTTTTAGTTCAATACTTCTGCCGCAAGGAAAACGTGGCGCCAATGTAGGGCGTTGCAATTCAAAATATTTTATTTCGTGAATTTACTAATGTTTGTGTGATGTAAATAAAATACATTGTATTATATTATCCCATTTGGGTGACAAGTTTTCAACTAAACAGGTAGTAGTACCTACTTAGTTTCCTCAAATAGAAAGGTGAATATGTACAACGCGATCGAAATTGTACCGCTCTTATGAAACATGATTTAGTAATCATTTGCCGCATCGCATATAAAGCTGAACCAATACTAACCATAACCTCTAAATCTAACTCTCCTGCCACCTCCCTTTCGAAACGTTTATTTCCGGTTTCCACAACCATTTGCCTACATCTTTTGGTTTTACAAAACAGTCTTTGTCAAAGCTACCAATTAGCAAGCAATAATTACAAGATTGCCGCTGCCTTTTATTGTGGAAGAAAATAAGCTGCTATAAACTTTAAATATTTAATTTTGTGCATAGAAATGCTGTGATTGAACCCTTCGACAATAATATCAGATTCCATCGCCCCCGATGATGCCGTCCAGTTTTTGTAACAGATGTGTTCTTTAATTTCATCTTCCTTCTTAGCTCTTGCACATACTGAGCAATATTTATTTCTCACGCCCAAGAATAAAATTTTACCAGTTGCTTTCCCAATTATTACAGCCTATAAATGACAAACGGTTTACATAGAAATAAAATACGGTACATAGTGTTTTTTACTTACGACTCCTGACGAAGCATTGTAACTATGCCCATAAGACCGTTGACTCCAGCCGCAATCTGTGTACACGACAACCCATGCCAAACCATTTTCGTCCACTTGTCCTTTTGAAATAGCTATATCATACTCCTCTATGCCTGCTTTTTCAATAGAAATCCACAGACGATCTTCCCACTCTTTGCTTAAAAAGCATTCAATTTTTTGGAACATACTATAGGTCAATGGAGGAATATTCATAATTGCTAGACGTTCCTGCAAGTTACTGAAAGTATTTCCAGCAGAAATGGTTGACCACACAGCTGCCGTATTAATGTTTTGAACTGCGTAATTTCTTCCAGGATGTGTGCACCGCTTTATTTCAAAACCGCAATAATTGCATTTAAAGGTTATTGTGCTAACCAAGCCGTTTCTCTCTTCTAGTATCGGTTCCAATTGACCTCCGGTACATTTCTTTGAATGGTCAACTTGTAAATGCAATGCCTAATTTAAAACGTGTTGCAAATCAACAATTCTATGTCCTGTTATTATAGAAGGTTTAGGATGAATCTCGACCTCCATTTCATGCAACAAAACACTAAAACAGAAATTTGATTAGATCTAGCTCTTATCGTAGTTTAAAATATTACTCATCATACTCTTCTTTATCTATAAATGAGAATTCATGAAGCACCTCTAGCGAGTCAGATTCTGGGTGAGCTTGAATTGTCTCAGTACCTGGTGTTGCTTCCAACGACAAATCTTGTGGCGACTTATTTCCTAACCCATTACCATCATAATCATGATCAAGGGCCACACTTCTAAATAAAAAAATTTAGTGAAATTATACAATTCCGGAAAAACGTTCTTACTTTGACTGTACATCAATATCATGTGATGTAGGATTTGCAACCGGATTGGGAGGCTCAATTGAAATTCTTGAGTTCACATCCTTATGAAAATAGTTGTGATCATGATGAACATTTTCCCTAAAAACAAAAAGTAATTTTGCTTTCATAACATAACCTAACCTCTAAATTCAACAGCTGACATTCCACATTCAAAGAAAAAAGTACGCATTACAAAGCACGCACTTTACTCTGTGGAATAACCGAAGATAGAACTAACTACTATCTCCTTTTTTCTTCGGCATAATATTCGTTGTAGTATATAGTCTAGCATTCAAGAAAGAATTCGAATACGTCACCCATGAAGTTCACGAAGCAGAGTAAGTATTGTGTATCTCTGTCTTATGCTTTCAATCCAACAAAGAAGTAATGATTCTGGGTTGTAATAACTTGATAAAATGTGTTATGACGTAAACGACTTCTTTCCTCAATACTACCATAGCATTGATTATATACTACGAAGTATATAAGTAAACGTATATAATCAATGACCATAGTTAGAGATACAAACCAGTACTTACAATGAACCTCATTGTGAATATGGTTTCATATCACTAAAGAAAACCAATGATCTCACCTATACTCCTCTCTTTTTTCTTCTTTAAGTTTGTTTCTGTTTTGCCATTCTCGCTTTCTTGCCTTAGATTTCTTGTTTCTTTTATTAAATTTGTAAGAAAGACGTCCTTTACCCATAATTGGTGGTTACAATAAAAAATTAAGTAATAATGTTCCGAACGTATTCAAAAAATTATTAGGTAGGTACACAAATTACAATACACCACTCACACTGCACAGTGAATCTGCGAATGAAACAAAAATGCCATTCAAAATGCAAGGTCGGATAAATGTGTGCCCAGAGGGTAATTCATTACGTATTAGAAAGCTAATTAGGTACATCAATGAATCATTAACAAAATAAATATAATTCTCCTCGCCAACGCCATCTATTATTTTAAAAATAGTTATTTTTCAGATTAATTACAATTTTTACCGCCGAGGGCCAAGAACGCAGCCTTATGCACAAGTTGTATGGCACAAAACACAGTGTTAATCCGACATACACTGTAGACTCATTGACTGGTGAACAGGAAAACGAAAATAACAGTGAAGAGAATATTGAAATACAAGAAGAAACAAAATCTGGTCCTTCCACCCCTTCCACAAGTGGGACTTCAACACCCACTGCCCGTCCATCTAAACTAAAGCCTAAAAGTAATTCAGATAGAATTCTGTCATCAATAGAAGCATTGCACAAACAACAGCAAGAAAGCAACCAACGTAATTTCGAATCTATCGAAAATTTATTGAAGGAACAAAATCAATACAAGAAAGAATTTCTATCATTATTCAAGAAAATAGTTGAAGGGAAAAAGAAAAGAAAACGTGAATCGTCTGAATCAGATTAAAATCAATGTCAAGTTTATTAAAAAAATCAAAATTTATACATAAGTTTCATAGTTAAGTATTCGTGTTAGACATTACTCATTAATAAATCTTTTATGGAATTACGTTTCATATTGCTTTGTAATGAACTTTTTTCAGGTCTACTGTTAGCATAAAATGTATCGTCCTCAACATGGGGTTTAGGCCATATGTGATCTTTAGACAAGTATGTAAAATTATGTACACACAGCATGCTGTAGTTATTAGAACTACTTTTTAACACTATACAGGGTGATTCCTATAGTACCTGCCACCGTTTGGGAGCGTGTAGGTGGTGCGTAGGGAGTATTTTGATATAGGACTTGGGGTCGGAAATCTAAATAAGGGTGCCAGAGCCAATTTACCTTTGGAATTTCGCGCCTGTAGGTAGGCAACCCAACCGGCCGGGGTGCACACGGAGCGATCTCAGGCGGCGATGTGTGGCTGACACTGTGATCAGAATTTTGTTTAACCCACGAAATCCCGTCGCAACGACGCGTATCAAGTGAATAAACACTATGGCACGTTTTACTAACACGGAATACGCGGACATGCACTTCATGTACGGATTGGCAAATGGTAACGCACCGAGCTGCACGACGAGCGTACGCTGAGCGGTATCCAAACCGTCAGTTACCCTGCAGACAGGTCTTTCAGAAGTTCACTTCCGACTGTGCGAGACAGGGCAATTGCAGGTAAGCTGACGGAGGCTTAACTTTACACACAGATTCGTGATGCACATCGATACTTGGGTCATTTAAGCACCCATTTCGAAAAGTTGTGTTTGTTTACACCGACCTCCTCCTATTTCGCAGCCCACGCGCCCGTGATCGCGATCGCCCGTTGGTAAATGCCTTAGAGGAGGATGTGTTGGAACGTTTCGAGGCAAACCCGCGTACTAGCACTCGACTTGTAGCAGATCAGGTGGGTTGTAGTCAACACACAGTGTGGAACATCGCCAACAACAACAACTTACACCCCTATAAGTTTAAGAAAGTGCAAGAGTTACGGCCGGGTGACATGAAAGGAGGCTGGAATTCTGCAACTTAGTCGTCCAGGAGGAAGAAGCTAATCCGAACTTTCTGAGGAGCGTGCTAGTTACTGACGAGAAAGGATTCTCAGAGAGGGGACCTTCAATCCTCGTAACAGCCACTACTGGCGGAGCACAATCCTCATGAAACGTTTACGCGAGGATACCAGGACAAGTTTCTTTAACAGTTTCGTTGGCCATCCTGGGGACAACCTACTGGGGCCTTACATCCTCCCTCCGCGTCTAAATGCCCATAATTACCTGATTTTCCTGCGCGAGGTGCTACAGAACTTTTAATGGATTTCCAGTGAACTTGTAATGGGACACTGGTTCCAGCACGACGGGTGCCCTGCTCACTACGGGCGGCAGGTGAGGGAACACTTGGACCAAACCTATCCGGACGATGGATCGCCGTGGAGGTGCGGTGGAGTGGCCTGCCCGCTCGCCCGACATCACCCCATTAGATTTTTACTTGTGGGTGTGATGGAAGCGCACGTCTACGAGACTCCCGTCGAATCCGAAGAGGACTTAATTGCGCGCGTCGTCATGGCCGGAGAGGCTGTTCGCCAGGACATAGGAGTCTTCACGCGAGTTCGAGGGAGTGGTTGGCTAGATGTAGGAAGTGCATTGAGAACAACGGTGGCCACGTTGAACACTTGTAAACGTTATTGCTTTTGACTGTCGTTTTCCCTCCTTCCCTCCCATGTCGCTTCCTCGCGCTAACTCGCTCTGCATCGCTCCGCGCGAAACGTCGGTCGGTTGGGTTGCCTACATACAGGCGTGAAATTCCAGAAGATAAATTTGGTTCTGGCGCCCTTATTTTGGATTTCCGACCCCAGTGTCCTATATGAAAAGACTTCCCCTAGGCACCCCCTATACGCTCCCAAACGGTGGCAGGTACTATAGGAATCACCCTGTATACGTTGACATATTGAAGGATCCTCCACCTTCCTTTTAGTCTCCCAAATGTATTTTCAATTACTACTCTTGTACGACTATGAATTGTGTTATGATTTGATTCTGCTCTGGTTAGCCGACCATTATCACTGAAACGTTAGGACTAATAAATCAGTTCTTACAAAAATTACCGTAACATACATGTAAGGAGTAATTAACCAGTCCCTCAAGAAATATGCAGAATCTCCAAGTAAATGATACTTGTTATAAAAATAAGTATTTGGCCCGAGCTCTTCTAAATTTTTGTAGAAACTGCTATTTTGAAATACCTATAAAATGTCAGGTTTTTATAGGTATAATTTCCACGCAAAATTATTTACTCTAGAATCATGAGCCGATCCAGGAAATCCAACAAAAATATTGGTAAACATACAATTTGCATTGCAGATTCCCTGAAGTATTATGGAATGGGAATGTTTCCTATTTAAATAGCTCAGTTGATGTTTTTCTGGCACTTTACAAGGGATATGGGATCCATCTATTGCTCCAATAACTCCTATCAATTGAACATAAAGGTCGATAAGTAAGTAGTTATAGAGATATACCTAAATCACCTTACCAGGATATCCAGCCATTGCTCTAAATTGTTGCTCTGTAACAACAGCTTCTGCAGCATTAGGCCATGTAATATATTCCGATGCTAAACTTGCCACAGCCGTTATGTAAGTTTCAGTAATATGTAACGCAGTGGATTCGCTTACATTAAATTTGTCAGCAATAGAAACAAATGTTTCTGCTTTCCCTAGGTACCATAACGTGATTAATAAGCACTTTCCTTGTGGGACACTGGTATACGCTCATTCAAAACAACAATGACACAACTCAAAATTTGGGTAAAATGAGGTTTTTGGTGCAACTGCTGCCAAAAATGATAAAGCGTTTTGTGGAACAGCGACATAAGTGCACATCAACAAACAGCTGTTAGATGTCACAAGTGTCACCGGCGCGTTAGCGTAAAATCATAAAACAAGAGAGATCAACAACGACATATTCAGTGATGGTGCAGTGTTCTTAGTGAAAAGTCATTACTTTTAATTCAACAATGGCACAACTCAAAAAACAACACGCTGGTAAGTAGAAAAGCAAAAATGTTTAGGGCAGCAGCGACACAACTCACATTGTGTCATTATTTATATTATGTTTTAAATTATGATCGATACTGTTTTTTTAACCAATATTGTCACATTTTGTATTGTGTCATTATTTAATTAAAATTAATAATCCTTTTTGATATTTTATTGACTGATAAAGGTAACATTTCGCGTTATGTCCATTTTGAATAAAAAATACGGAAAGATTTTATGGAAGCTTTTAGAGATGTGACACTGTTGAAGAAAAATATTGTCTAAATTTTTTTTAAAGGTGTACTTTCTGATAATTATGCCATTGTCGACTAAAAATTTAGTTTTGTACAAGGTTTTGTATGAACCTGGGATTGTTACATTTACTCATTTTTAGAAATATTATCATCCAGAACAGTTCGAATAATGGCCCATTTGATCCCAAGAGATCGGGAAACAGATATTGCAGTCTTGCAAGGTGGGCAAATAACTAGTATGTGGTATTTTAGTGCAATTTTTAAAGTGTTTTTTTTTAATCGACAATTTTAGGCAGTGATGTAACAATAAATAATGAAACCGAGGGACTTACTGTAATGGACAACCCGATAGAAACAATGGTTCCTATATCGGAAGAAGAGAGCTCGGACGAGAGAGTTGCAAAAGGTACTATAACTTATTCCATCAGTGCAAATGTTTTTTATTGTGTAGGTACTGTTATTACTATGTATCAGTAGTATCTGTGACTTTTCTACTAAACACAAATTATTTAATTTTTAGGGAATGAAGGAAGCTATCATGACGACTCGGACGATTCGGTAAAGGACAAAGACTATGTTCACAGTACTTCCTCTAGCGAGTCGTCATCCGAAAGTTCATCGGAAAGTTCATCATCTGATGCCTCTACCCGCGATATAGAGAAAGAAAATATTTGCGAGAACGAAAACCCAAAGAAAATAACCAGAAAAAGAAAGCGCGCACCTG